AAATATGAGAATGAGACGTTGATTTTGTATGCTATTTAATTAAATTATTTAATTACTTGATCTATATATTATATATTTCACTACTATGTAAGTAACCATCTTTTTTTGATGGCTGATAATGGTATGGTAACCCCGCCTGCGCTAACGGGATACGCTGACGGAGCACCAGTGAAGGGTGATAGATGAGAATGTAAACAGGCCAGTTAGCCCATCATGATGAATTCATCAGAAACTAACCATGATAGTTTCCAGGGGGAACCGCGAGGAAGTCGACCTGATTGGATATATTGCTAGCAATGGGATTTTTAGTCTCCATTACTAACAATCCCTTTTCCCCTTAAAAAAAAAACCATCGGCCTCCACTATCGGTATACGCTGGCGAGACACCAGTGATAGATGATAGATGAGGATGATAGCAGGTCAGTCGGCAAATGGTGAAGAATTCAACAAGAATTAACCAGGATCGTTCCCAGGGGATACCGCGTGGAGGTCGACCTGATAGGCTATATTACAATGAAGCTGTTAGAACCTATTTCTAACAATCCCTCCCCGGGGGGAAAGGGACTGTTAGAAACTGGGATTAGTAACCCTAATACTAGCAATGTTCCCTATCAGGCCGACCTCCTCTCGGTTCCCTCTGGAAGCCATCGCAATTGATTCATTAGTGAATTTGTCACGATGGGCCAACTGACATGCGTCATCCTTACCTGTCATCCTTCACTGGTGCCCCGCCAGTGGATAGCGGGGTCACGATTCCATTGTCGTCCATTAAAATAATTCCTCCCCCCCCCCCCTCAAAGAATGATATAAACAAGTTGAAGTGACGATGTTTTTTTGAATTTAATAAAATAATTGCCTTGAAATTGCAAGTAACAATTGTAATAGGTAAATTAAAGTATTAATCACTAGGTATATAGACTTAAAGCGACGCCACACGTCTGAGTTACGCATATTTGTGCCATGAAGCGGCCATGTTTGTTTTGTTTCAGTTTGAAAGGTAAATGGTGAATTATATTAAATAACATATTATTTTGTGTTATCATTGACATGAGCAGTACCACGGACATAACAGAGTATACTGTTTCACCCATGATACCCCCCATGCGTTGCAATTCCTGAGGACTTAGGTGTTATTCCTCTGTATCCAGTAAATTAACTTCCATATCCCACCCTTCAAACCGAAACACAGCCATGCAAACACAACTGCTTCACGGTTGAAACACGAATGGGACAAAGGTACCCAAGCAATCGACTTTTGTACAATGTCTCCCTCTGGTAAACAGTATGAAAACAACGTTGAATTAAATAGGTAAATGTAATATTAAAGTACAATTTATAAATAACAATTACTAACATACCACAATTCGTGGAAGTGAGAATTAATTTAGTTTACAATCCATTAATTAAACCTTGACTTGTATATTGTCATTTATTTACAATATCATACGGGTGACTAACGTTTATTAGGTCGAACAGATGTTCTGTGAGGGTTGCCATATTCGAATTCTACCCAAACGTCAACTTTATCCAATACAAACTCGTATAGTCTTGCCAAGTACCACAGAGTATAACTACGAGGAAGTAACCTTCCATTCAATTCTCCCTTTTTGCTTATCTCCCCTCTCCTTCTATCCTCAGCGATGTTTGCCGACGCTCGCACAGATAGTTTTGACGCAGTCTGGCGTAAAAAGACAGCTTCGTTTTTACGTCGAATACGCGGCAGTAGCAACAGTATCCTGAACATGTTTGTTAATAAATTGGATAGTCCTCTCGTGAGAATGCTCTCCGAAAGGACTAGACAATTATTAGTGATTAAGTATTAACATAGTTTTTAAGTACACTTACTAACAAAAATGGATCCATGTTATCAAAAAATAAATAATTAAAAAAAAAATTATCCCATCCACCATTTATTGTAGAAATATTGCCTTCACTCTTTGCAGCCAACAGCAAACACAGATAGAAAACAAAACCATCCATCCCCGTCCATCCTCCATTTATTCATCCATTTATTGTATATATATAAACTTTACAAATACTAAAACTGTCCAAGGAAATTACCCAAATGTCTTCAATTTAATTTTTGTCTAAAATTTTTTCCATGAATTGAATTTCTCTATAATATTGTGAACAGAAAATTTTTGCCCAAAATGGGGGGGGGGGGGGGGGGGAACTTAATCTGGCAATATTGTATTCTGAATACGACTTGGTGTTTTCGAAAAAAACAGACTGATTCCTTGTCGAATTTTGTATGCAACTTAGAATGGCAAACAAGCTGACGGCCCACCTGATGACAAGTGGTAACCGTTACCTGTAGTCATGAACAGTACCATGGACATAACAGAGTATACTGTTTCACTCATGATACCCTCTATGCGTTGCCATTCCTGATGACTCAGGTGTTATTCCTCTATACCCTGTAAATTCACTGTGTAACATTTATACGGGAATTATGGATCTTTGAATTATGTGTTTTTATCTTTCACAAACACAAGAATACAGGGGGGGGGGGAGGGATTGTCAATAATGGAGACTAGGGGCCTCATTGCTAACAAAATACCTAACCAGGTCGATTTCCACGTGGCCCACTTTGGAAACCATGGTGCTGAATTCCAAGTCTATTTTTTTTATGGATGATAATGGTATGGTAACCCCGCCTGCGCTAACGGGATACGCTGGCGGAGCACCAGTGAAGGGTGATAGATGAGAATGACAACAGGCCAGTTAGCCCATCATGATGAATTCATCAGGAATTAACCATGATAGTTTCCAGGGGAAACCGCGTGGAGGAGAATGGGATTCTACTATGATATTCTCAGTCTACATCACTAACAATCCCTTTCCCCCTCCAAGTGTATTCATCACGATGGGCTAACTGACCTGTCTTTTCATCCTCATCTATCATCCCTCACTGGTGCCCCTCCGGTGTATACCGATAGCGCAGGCGGAGTTACCATACCATTATCACCCATTAAAGAAAAATACAAGGTTACAAAGGTCAATTTTAAGGTTGCTCTTGTTATTGATATTTATAGTACTTAAATGTAGGGGGGAAATGGATTGTTAGTAATGGAGACTGAGAATCCCATTGCTATTCCCATTCCCAAACAGGTCGACCTCCTCGCGGTTCCCCCTGGAAACTATCATGGTTAATTCCTAATGAATTCATCATGATGGGCTAACTGGCCTGTTTTCATTCTCATCTATCACCCTTCACTGGTGCTCCGCCAGCGTATCCCGTTAGCGCAGGCGGGGTTACCATACCATTTTCACCCATAAAAAAAAAGTACTTAAATGTAAGATGTGTATATAATAGATAGATAATATTTTTTACATATTTATACATAATATATTATGCATATTAGGTTACAATGAATTTACATATTTTTCGACAAATATGTATTTGTCGAAAAAGGTAACTGATACCGCCCACTGTATCGATTTTATAGCGTCTAAATGTCTCCGAGGGAAATTCTTGGAAGAGAATAGTAATTCGTTAAAAAAAGCCGGTTATGTGCGAGTCGGACTCGCGCATCGAGGGTCCCGTATAAAATCATCAAGTTTATATTAAATAAAGTAGCTTTTGTGAAATAACTACTAATTTACGGTTTTCGAATTTTCTCCTTTACTTGTGCTACATGACGTTGCTTCTTGCCAAATTTCATGATTCTAGGTCAACAGGAAGTACCCTATAAGTTTTGATTTCCTTTGCGAATGTCAAAATATCCGATATAAATGGAACATAAACGGCCGTATCTTTCGATTGCGTCGATTTAGAAGCTTGTATTTTTCACCGCTTCAAGAGATTGCAGACCTGAGTGTATGATATTAATTACAACTTGATACCTCCACGCGTTCCTAAGAAAAAGGGGTCTTAACAGATGGACAAACGGACGGTTCCGTTTTTCCCTTTGGAGGTACGGAACCCTAAAAATAATGAATTGTTTATTTAAAAATTGTAGCTATAGAGTTACAATAGACACGTATTATTATTAACTGAAAGACGGGCTTTTTTCAGGCATAAAAACCTGTGACACTGCGACCTTTTCATGCTTTCGTGCTTTTACTAGGCACCTGGCTTGGTTTGCACAGAATAAATCGCACAGACAGATGTTGTCATTTTGGGCAGCTCTGATTGGTCGCGTTCGCTGACAGGTTGAATGGAAAGGAGGGCGCGGGAAATTTGAGTGTACTTGTTCTTATGTTCTAACACCCTGTTTGATCATCACCGCCTGCATGATTTGATATTTCTTCATAGAATTACACATCATGATATGGACTGTCCTGAGCTTTTGAGTGAAGTTAAATCCCTAGATATCCCGTCAATAAGATATTTTGTGTGCCACTGTGCAAAACTAATTTAGGATTGAGTGCTCCGCTTGCAAGAATATGCAATAACTATAATAATATTCACTGGTGCTCCGCCAGCGTATCCCGTTAACGCAGGCGGGGTTACCGTACCATTTTCACACATCAAAAAAAGAAAAAAAAAATTATTGCTGCGGCGTTTCTTCCTCATTGTGACAAGATCTGCAAACAATAGACAAGTAGGAAATTATCATGATTAATTCTTCATAATGAATTCATCATGATAGGCCATCATAACTGGCCTGTTTTCATTCTCATCTATCACCCTTCACTGGTGCTCCGCCAGCGTATCCCGTTAGCGCAGGCGGGGTTACCATACCATTTTCACCCATCAAAAAAAAAATATTGCGGCGTTTCTTCCTCATTGTGACAAAATCTGCAAACAATAGACAAGTAGGTCACGAAGCTTTGTTGAAAATACACTTTAATTGAAAACAGTAACAAAACCATACATTCAATCGATTATTCGATTGAATCAATTGATTCGTTGAAATTACTGATAAATCGAAACATTTAACCAATTAATCGATTTTTTTTTTATTTACACTCCTATTGGACATCTGGATACAGTCAATTATTTGTTTGTTCACGTTTTAATTAAATTCTTTTGAAATAAAACAGACTATGGTCATCTCTTTTCATTTAAGAGTCTCCTCTTGTCGGTGCAACTAATTCATGCATCTTCCTCCAGCCAGCTCTATCCCAGGTCATATCCTTTGTCTCCCTATACGACATGACGCCTAGTGTTTCCTTTATCTGTCCCATGTAGTTAATCCTCGGTCTTCCTCTTCCTCTTTCGCCTTCTATCTTTCCTTCTACTATGCTCTTAAAAAAATCGTCATGTCGTATAAGGTGGCCCAGCATTTTGCCTCTTCTATTCTCTATTATTTTAATTAATGTTCTCTTCTCGTTCACTCTTTTTAGGACTTCCTCGTTCGTTAGTTTTTCTGTCCAGCTTATCCTTTCCATTCTCCTCCATGTCCACATTTCGAATGCCTCAAGCATCTTTCTTTCCTTCTGCGTCATTGTTCATACAGAAAATAAAATGCGGAGACCAGGTACCTAATGTTAAACTTTTTGAAATAATTAGGTAGTTCAGTTAGTCAATGTATTCCAGACAAGGTCGTGGGTAAAGACTAGTAAGTTTGTAATAAGTATATAAGCCAGTATATTGCCGTGTGGTCCCGGCATAGAATGGGCCAACCCTTCCTTTCCTATGGGTGTCGTAAGAGGCGAGTAAGGGAGGGCGAGGGATGGACAGCAGCGTCCGTATTAAAACATCTCTAGAAGCATTAAACACACACACACACACACGCACGCACGAACGCTCGCACGGTCGCACGCACGCACGCAATACCTTTCCCCCAATTTTAGAGGGTAAATCAACCCTGTTATTAGCAGCCGGACGGTGTTCAATACCAGTCAACCATTGTGAGGGGAAAGGGATTGTTAGTAATGAGGTTTAATAGCCACATTGCTAGCAATATACCCTCTCAGGTCGACCTCCACGCGGTTCACCCTGGAAACTGTCTTGGTTAATTCTTGTCGATTTCATCATGGTAGGCCAACTGACCTGCATTCATTCTCACCTATCATCTTCCACTGGTGCCTCGCCGGTGTATACCGATAGCGCGGGCGGGGTTACCATTCCATTTTCATCCATTAAAAAAAGTCGATCATTGTTGTGGCTAATTTCTGGCAAATAACCATAACTTCATCCTCACCTATCATCCCTCAATGATACCACTTTAGTAAAGATACCCCGACAGCGCAAGCGTGGTTACTATTCCATTTTCATCAATAAAAAATAAAATATTTTAATATTTTGCTTTATTATTTCAGCATAGAGACCTAATTATTTACATAACTATCGGCGCACGGTTTCCAAACCCTCGTTCCAATCATTTATTTGCGTGCAAGCTGTTATTTTGTAAATTTATTTACGGCCAGTACGTTTCGTGAGTAATAAGAGTTTTATTTTTTAATTTTTTAGACCAATAAATATATGTGAAAACCGTGATAGGGTGTGTCGACACTCCTGCTAATGAAATGTATTGCTTTCAGTCGCACTAAATCTAAAAATAAACACGTGATCATATTAGATAGAGCACGCCGATGTAAAATAAAACGGAACCAAATAATAAGTTTTCGTTAAGTAAACGAATAAATACTTAATCTACATCATAAAATGAAATTCACTTTTTATGTCCTGAGTCGTTAGTTACGTGTAAAAAAAAAACATGTAAATTTATTGAATTTCAAGTTTATTCCAGACAATTTATCATATTGAAGACTAGGCAGCATGGTCTCCGACCTTAGCCTGTTCCACAACGGAACGAACATACTAAAAAAAAAATGAATCTCAAATGTAGAACAACTATTTTTAAATGCAACAACTTAATATGATGTATATAAGATTGATAACAGGCTTTTTAAATTAATAATAATAATCGATTTTTGCAATTTTTAATTGAAATTGAAAGTCGGTTCTTTAATATTCCACTGATAAATCAAAGAAATTGTCATTGTTTGAGATTTTATTCTTTACCTAATAACTTATTTTATGCTAAATGTAATATAATATACTTATATGCCTAGTTATAAAAAAAATGTCAAAATGTTAACCATTCAGAAACAGTAGTTAAATACAGCTAAACGTACTAAAATAACTTATTTAATAATAAAAAATATGTACATATTATTAAAATACATACACGTATCCATATATAGAGCAGAATTTCTCCATTTCAGTATTTGTCTGATAATAGGTATCTCGAATTGGCGCGAAGTTAGCCGCAGGCCAAGATGGCCGACCAATGATGGCGCGCAGCTGCAGCTATGCGCGGAGGCGACGCGCTCCTCAAAAATCCCCACCGAGCCGCAACGGTGATCAAATCTTCGAGTAGTGTTGTGCGAGAGTCGCGTATAGTGTTAGTATTTAATTTATTAAAATTTTACAAAACAAAAAATGAGGGAAATCGTGCACATCCAGGCCGGCCAGTGCGGCAACCAGATTGGAGCTAAGGTAAATTAACATTTTAATTATAATTTTGTCTCATAAATTATATAAAATTCATGGTACGTCGCGTATAAGTACTAATAACGGTGTGTAACGGTCTCGGCGGCTCACCATGGAATCCAATGATAGTTTCAATGTTTCGTACTATTTTATTAGATCCACTTTCATTGTTGGTATACTGGTTGGCACGGATGCTTCTATAGTTTTCTGTGAGATGCCTTTGTGGGCAAAGGAGGTCGCGTTTATTATACGCACACAATGAACTCTTGTTGCATAGTTCTATTCGTAGTTTTAAAATAGTATTTGGAATTTTGAATTTTCACGCGTCGCTGCGCTGTCAGTTTATAGGGCTGTCAACGTACCCCTTGTACTGCGCATGCTCAATCGATTAACATATTAATGTTAAAAATAGTATTATCATTTTACAATCAACTCTACAACTTTTTCATTATTTTTCTCATCCCATAAAAACACGATAAAAAAGTATTTTATTGCCTTCTTGTAATACATATTGTTAGTTTGTTTGAACATAAATCTTAAAGCAGTGTGGTCTTCTAAGAATACGTAAATTAATATTCATTTACAGATAGATACAGTAAAAAAAAAACAACAAATAGGTAACAGTAGTGATGTCATATATATATATATATATATATATATATATATATATATATATATATATATATATATATATATATATATATATATATATATAGCGGTTTGACCTTATATGAAAAAAACAAATGCCAAGCTCTCAGGTGTTATTGATCAAACTGGAGGAGCGATGACTCAAGTCGTATGTCATGCTATTACATTAGGAGTATTTCAATATTCGATCTATAGGACTGTGGGTTGTGTCAAGGAGACCATAGGCAGGTTTTAATTGAACCGGTTCTTCTGTTTATCTCATATATCTCCATAAAGGCATATTCCAGAACTTTCGGTACACATTAACATTGACATATTAGGGAATCTACAGGCATGTATAACTTTTTTTTTTATTATTTAGTTTAGTTAATCTTTCTAATATAGGTAAAAATCATGCGGTATTTTGAGTCCATGGAAAAATAAATTTACATAAAAATTTTCGCCCAAATAAGTTTCATTTGGCATTGACTTATTTATTACGTATAGTTTCATAATTTACAAATTCCCTTCGTCTGGACTAGAAATAAAGAAAATTAGAGGAAATTAAAGGGAAATTACAGGTTACATTGCTTTCTTTTAATAATTTGATAACATTACCAGAGGGAGACTACAAAAGTCGATTGCTTGGGTACCTCTGTCCCATCCGTGTTTCAACTGTGAAGCAGTTATGTTTGCATGGCTGTGTTTCGGTTTGAAGGGTGGGATATGGCGTGAATTTACTGGGTACACAGGAATAACACCTGAGTCCTCAGGATTGGCAACGCATCATGGGCGAAACTGTATACTCTGTTATGTCCATGGTACTACTCATGTCTATAGACGACGGTTACCACTTTCCATCAGGTGGGCCGTCAGCTTGTTTGCCATTCTAAGTTGTATAAAAAAAAAGTTTTAGAGATAAGTTCACCTTTGCTAACATTGTTATTAACTTATTAATTGTTACTGTATGTTTTATTAAAGAATATATATATATATATATATATATATATATATATATATATATATATATATATATATATATATATATATATATGAGCGCCATGCAAATCAGAACGTGCCTCGGTAAAACGATTAATTGTCATGTAATTCGTAATTAACTTTCATATCAAATCCACCGGGTGAAAACTTCCTGCGCCACCGCTGGAGCATAGACAACATGCAATTTTCTAGACTTCACCACAGATAACACAACACTATCTACTAATTAGTCGATCTACAATTATTTTTTAATGCCTAATGTCATTTCGGTCAATGCTTTCAGAAAAAATAATAAATATAGATAGAGCCCAGCAAAATATTTTTTTTTTTTATTATTAGACGTATTAAAAAAGGTTTGGACTTTCTTTCGTAATTATTAAATTATCAAAATAACTGGTTAGCTGGTAGTCAGTTTTTTTTTTCTTTAGTTGAACACAATGTTATTTGTTAGCTACGTATTTAATAACTCGATTATATATAATTGTATGATATTTCGCACACAGAGAAATGAAATGAGATGTAATTATATTTATTTGCTGTGAATGTAGTAGATAATGGGATGGAATTAAAAAAAAAAAAAACTTTCACATTCAGCCAGTTTAGCATGCAACATTATATTTATAAATAATTAATAATTCAACAACTTCATATCAGCTTTTAACTATGCACTGTTTATGTGCCTCCTCCTAGGGGTCTTTGCCAATAGTTTCCACGAATGGCAAGCGGATTGGCAACCGCAGTTAGGCTTTAGAGATGTTTTAAGGACGCTCCTGTCTATACCTCGCCCTCTTTAATCGCCTCTTATGACATTATCGCCTCTTAGAACCACACGGGGTGTTAACAATTAAACATAATATATTATCTAGGATTGACATTTTTTTTTTATCCCACATCTTAAGACCGAAGCTCCAGTTAACAACTGGTAAGGAAATATCTTTAATTCGTTACACGATATATCTTATAAAACTATGTGTGTTCGTACAATTCATTCGTTAGTCAGTATACAATGATTCATGTGAGGTGGAATTTCGAATGGTAGATATGCATATAAGTGCCCACCGTGTCGGCCCAACGCAAGCTGTACAAACAGCCAAACACTGAATTAGACAGTGTATTTTTACTATCTGCTTGTTGGGTTAAACGCATGTGAGGTTTTAATACGAAATTTATGACTGGCACTTATGAATATTAAAAAAAAAGTGCTTAAAGAATATTTTTAAAAATAGAACGTTCCTTGTAAAAAATAGAGTGTTCCTTTACGTTCCTTTGTCTTTGCCATTAAAGATAAATTGATACTAGTATTAAATATTTTTTTAATCAAATTACAATAATTAACGATCCTTTACCCGACTGTGAATGTAAAGAGGGTACATTTATTGTTGCGTGTAGACATACTAGTTCAGTAGAGTGAACGGTTAGGCCAAACGGACTTTCATCAAATAAAAGGCATACTGTTATATTAAAAATTACATATTTTTTTAATAGTACATTACGTGTATAAAATAGAAACCGTCTTTTTAAAGCAGCTTAAAATTAATAGCATTTATTAGTACTTTAATGCAATAGCTACCGGTGTAATTTACGTGTAATTTGATCGAGAAAGTTCGACTAGTTTCGGAACCATACTCGATCCTTAGTCTTTCTCGGCCAAATTACACTAAGTTATTTATTAAAATGTAATATGTATTTACGAAAATTTCTAACAATAAAATTTATTAATACTCTTATCTGAATTGTACTATCATGTTATTTTTAACAATGGAGTCGATTCGAAGACGCCATTTTTTTAAATTAAAAAATTTGTCTATTTTACGGAATTACTGCTTTATGGAACTTCGTAAACTATATCTTGAAATTATTTTGTCTTAAAACAAATAGAAAACTTCATAGTTGTTTAATGTGATATCAAATTGAAATTTGGATTTAAGAGATTCGTTTAGAATAATTCCACTAACGAAACGACTCCATTGTTATTTTTTTTTTATTAAAAAATGGTAATGTTAAAGATTTTTTTTTTTAAATTAGATACTAAATGCTTTCGGAAATAGTAAATTATTATTAAATCATAATCGGAGTGGCTAGGTACATTGTTACTAACAGGACATTAGCGGTAATACAGTAGATACCTACAGTAAGCAAATAGGTATCAACAGTTCCGACGTACGGTGTCACGGCCAATTTCATACTGTAATTGGGATACGAAACAATGGCTATAAAAAACAGTGACATCAACGGGAGATACATATTGTGAATATCATAATTATGAACTTAAGTACTTTTTTTAAAAAAAAAGATTACCACCTATTTACTTTGTCTCTGGCTAGATTAGGATTTAAAAACCATAGAGCCATAGAGAATGAGAAATTCTTTTTTTAAAAGTTACAAAATTTTTATTCATCTGCTTATTTTTTTTTATTTCTTACACTTTGGCTAGAAGCCAACGCCCAAAAAGCTATACAGTACAAAAACTTTTCATAATCTTAAACTTTAATGTTATCATAGCGAAATTTTTAAATTATCGAATGAGCTTGATGATGTACTTGAACTTTTTTTAAGGATTAAGGATTTGGAGATTATAATATGGTACCTAGAACTAAAAGAACTATAGAGAGCATTAACATTTTACTTAGGTTTTGTTTTTTTTTTTTTTTTAATAGTATTAGGTCTTTTAATAGTTTACTTTTTTTTTGTTTTTATTTTATAAATGGAACTACAATTAGATTTCGATGTTAGAAATAAATGATCAAATACAATTGTGAGAAACCTTTAATGCCAACTTCTGACGATTCCGGCCTTTTGTTTGGAACCATAGACAACACGAGTTTAGTTTTTATGCATAATCTTATCACGTAACTGGATAAAAATTAAACGTCGATAGATTAGCGAGGCCACTGAACCCACGGTCGTCGGCCGATGTTCGCTTTATAAATAACACAGTCCGTGTACTGCACTTTAAAATAGAGGTATTTCCAGTCGACTTCAAAAAGAATTAAGTTCTCAAAATCCACTGTATTTTTTAATGTAAATTTTAGACGATACATTTAAGTATTTAATAATTAATCGAAAAAATTTCTAGAAAGATAAATTATAACATAGCTTTGTGTAAACGACATCCGGGATTTGCTTCTCCGTCGAGCCAATTTACATACGTCTGTCTGGTGTCCGGTCCGGGACCCAGAAAACTTAATTTCCTAAATTAGTTATCCGGATTCTGTACACGTTCATTGTCTGGTAACTATGTTATAAATATATTACGGTTAATTTAACTGTCAAAACGGCCTTAGTACGGTACGTACTTAGCGTTTAAAACTCATTAAATAAAGTAATTAACAAAGATTTTGAGAAAAAGTATGATTGAGAGAAAGTATCCAATGCAGGAACTTTGGTTAAGAGTTTCATTAAATAACATCCTAACTTTTAACATTTGTTGATTGTTAGACTCAAGCGAATTACTACAAAATCTCTCGGCGCTATTCTTCTAAACCTTTCTGTTACCCTAATATTTTAAATTGATAGCTTCGCGACATTACTATCTGGTGGACTTTTTACTTAAAATCAATAAATTTTAGTTCATTTTTTTTATGCAACTTAGAATGGTCTACAAGGTGAGGGTCCACCTGATGGAAAGTGGTAACCGTCGCCTATAGACATGAGCACTATCATGGACATAACAGAATATGTTGTTTTGCCTGTGATACCCCTCATGCATTGCTATTCTTGAGGACTCAGATGTTATTCCTCTGTACCCAGTAAATTCACGCCATATCCCACCCTTCAAACCGAAACACAACCATGCAAACATAACTGCTTCACGGTAAAAACACGAATAAAGATTTAACTGTAATATCAAATGGAAATTTTAATTTTAGAAATAGGCACAGAGAAATGGTGCCTGAGAAAACGAAATCATTTAGACAAATTTCTAGTTATCACGTTACATGGTTTCATTAAATGACATCCTGGCTATAGGCATTGTATGTATTCTATGTAGATTACTGTATAAACGAAATTGTGTTTCATATATATGCCTATTTAATTTTGTTTTATTCTGAAAATGCCCAATTGGTTTTATGAAAATACTAAGACTATTAGGCGAGAAGAATTATGCAAGAGTCTTCTTAGTCTACGTTACTCGTTTTCATTAAATGATATCCTAGCATCGAGTACTAGGATAGCAGAATCGTGCAGGAGCCTTAGCCATTACTCGTTTTCATTAAATGGTATCCTAGCTTCGAGCACTAGGAAAGCAAACTCGTGCAGGGGCCTTAACCTACGTTACACGTTTTCATTAAATGACATCCTCGCTTCGAGCACTTGGTTCTTGTGTGGTGTTTATTATTGGCATTGAGACGAGTGTTGTCTAAGCGAAATTGTGTAGTACATGTAGTGGATCTATTGTGCAGTGTTTCTCTGGCAAGTGGTAGGAGTTACCTGTTACACGTTTCGCACGGTACTTTCATCTGCGTATCTCGTTACGACAGAAAGCAGCCTCAACTCTCGGCCCCTCGCCGCAATCGAACTCGATCACCTTTCACTTTTCGTCATTAAAAATCATTATTCTGTCATGTTTTGAAAGTATAGAAACGTTGTGTTAAAACATTCCGGATGCACCGTTTGCAATAAGATATCTGAATGAATAACTATTTCCGGGGCTCGATTCTTGATAGAGACAATGCTATAAAGTTTCTTTTTTAACCAACTTTAAAATGAAGGAGGTTCTTAATTCGGTTGTATGATTTTTTATATATTTGTTGTCTTATAACTGCGTCAGTTGTAAATCGATTTAATCTGATATTCTTGCAGTTTGGTCCCATAGAAATTTTATTAAAATAGGCTCAGAAGTTTAGTTTTTAAATCCAAATAACTGGTTTTACCACATTTGAAGTCTTTTTTTTTTTGTAAGTAAAAATTTATTGTTATTTTTTTCCTATTCTGAACTTGTGATCTAATATAGATGTTAAATGGTTACTGGAGCTCATGAACGTTTGCAACACCAGAGGCGACGAGCATATTGGTGACCATTATGATAATGAGTGTCTTGAGGTACAGTTAACAGTAATTTCACAGCCATATCTCACCTTTCAAACCGGAACATAGCGTGTATGTGAGCTGCTTTACGACGATATTAATAATTAGTGAGATGTACTTAAGTACTCTTGTACAATCTTTGTATAAAGTCTAAAATTATACTTCAGTTCTAATGTTACTAGAAATTATTATGATAATGTGACATTCAAAACGAAAAAATAATTTATTTGGCCGTCTCCAAACATATAATGCCAAAAATGAACATTGGAGTAATTTTAATCACAAATTAGAGAGACTATATTAAAAAGTATAAAAGCAAATGGAAGATATCACGAGCTTAACAAATTTATTATTATCCTCTCTATAGATTTGCGGCACTAAAATCATATTTGGTGTTAGAAAATTATATTATTAAAGATGTTTACACTTAAAAGCCCTGATCGAGTAATCGGTATTAGTCATTTAACCATAAATGTAGCTATCAGTCGCTCGAGGCATAAACCCACACAAACTTAGACTGGATGACATCATGCCAATCGCCTTACACGTATACTTGTGTGCCCACAACTGAATATTAATGCCCCAGTCACCAAGCAGACACTTGTGGCCTTTTGTACATGTACTAAAGTGCAGATAATTTCACTACGTCTACTCCATTACGTAAACGTCTTCAAACAAATTGATTCATTGTTCTACACGTACCGTATTTGCAAAACTCAATTATAACCATGCAAATTCATGTGTGAACTCATTACAATACCGCTGACCATATGGTTGTGTAAAGCAGGCCACGGCTCTCGAGGAGCGTCGAAAAATCGAATGCTAATTTGTGAACCAGTCAGATAACATTCACCGCATATACGGAGAGATAAACCAAATACGGACGCACCGTGGGCGTCGCCTGTTGTCAAAGCAATTGCATTGTACTCAGTCATTGCTCATGCCATTGTCTTGCGTAATGATTCCAAGTTGTAGTTGTCATTAAGATGTATTATGCATCCTGTGCCCCATTCACTGGACGGTTCATTGAGCTCGTGATAACAGGCATATTAAGTAGATTTAGACGACTGGTAACTCGAAATAGTTCGATGTACTTTCTAGGCACTGTAGGATCGCTTACATAGAACCGGTTCGAAAGCGCCGTCCTCACTTACAAGTGCATGTAGATAGTACCAAGCCTTCGTGTTGGAATTTTAATCGATTGCATTCCCGCCTCGCCTCACTTAAATGCAGTTGAGTAACGGGTCTTCTTTCTTTGCAGTTCTGGGAGATCATCTCTGACGAGCACGGCATCGACCCCACCGGTGCCTACCACGGGGACTCTGACTTGCAGTTGGAGCGTATCAACGTATACTACAATGAGGCCTCCGGCGGCAAATACGTGCCCAGGGCCATCCTGGTCGATCTCGAGCCAGGCACCATGGACTCTGTCCGCTCAGGACCCTTCGGACAAATCTTCCGCCCGGACAACTTCGTGTTCGGACAGTCCGGTGCCGGCAACAACTGGGCCAAGGGACACTACACAGAAGGCGCTGAACTTGTCGACTCAGTTCTCGACGTAGTCCGCAAAGAGTCAGAATCTTGTGATTGCCTGCAGGGTTTCCAGCTTACACACTCCCTTGGTGGCGGTACCGGTTCCGGCATGGGAACATTACTCATTTCAAAGATCCGTGAAGAGTACCCCGACAGAATAATGAACACCTACTCAGTCGTACCCTCGCCCAAAGTATCAGATACTGTGGTGGAACCCTACAATGCTACCCTCTCCGTTCACCAACTGGTCGAAAACACCGACGAAACCTTCTGTATCGACAACGAAGCGCTTTATGACATCTGCTTCCGCACATTAAAACTGTCTACACCCACCTACGGTGATCTCAACCACTTAGTATCCCTCACAATGTCTGGTGTCACCACTTGCCTTAGGTTCCCTGGTCAGCTAAATGCTGATCTCCGTAAATTAGCTGTAAACATGGTACCATTCCCACGTCTCCACTTCTTCATGCCCGGTTTCGCGCCACTCACCTCCCGCGGAAGCAGACAATACCGTGCCCTCACCGTGCCAGAACTCACACAGCAGATGTTCGACGCTAAGAACATGATGGCCGCCTGCGACCCTCGTCACGGTCGCTACCTTACTGTAGCAGCCATCTTCCGCGGCCGCATGTCCATGAAGGAAGTCGACGAGCAGATGCTTAACATCCAAAACAAGAACTCGTCGTACTTTGTTGAATGGATCCCCAACAATGTCAAGACAGCCGTCTGTGACATTCCTCCACGCGGCTTGAAGATGTCGGCTACTTTCATTGGCAACTCGACCGCCATCCAAGAGCTCTTCAAGCGTATTTCGGAACAGTTCACTGCTATGTTCCGTCGTAAGGCTTTCCTCCATTGGTACACTGGCGAGGGCATGGACGAGATGGAGTTCACTGAAGCCGAGTCCAACATGAACGACCTGGTCTCCGAATACCAACAATACCAAGAAGCCACCGCCGACGATGAAGCCGACTTCGAGGAGGAGCAAGAGCAGGAGATCGACGACCATTAAACACTGCCCACACGCGTTGCTAAGCAACAAAACACATGCCATTATCTCTCGCGTTACTTTTCCTTCAAGTAACATTAATGAACCCAGCAATATATTCGATCGGCATATTGAAAATACATGCTTTCTAACTTTTAACAGAACGCACGACTAAAAACTCCGGACAAGACATTATAATTTGTGAATTGAAAGCACATGAATCGGATGAATACATTCCTTTATGGTTCCAAGGCCTCATTGAGCGCTAGATCTGAATTTCTAAAGGCTGATCTACCATAGACATTCTTTATATGTTTTTAATAGTTTGGACATAATAGTCGAGCCAAACGTGAATAATATAGATTGCTTCAATAACCGAAGTTTTTATTACGATTTAAAAAAAAAAATTGTTTTTGAAGAATAATTTAATGTATATAATAAAGTTTTATTATTTATTACAACTTGTTTCCTTGTACCTGATGATAAATATATTAATAATAGGTTAGGATTCTTAAAATAAAGTTAATAAATGACATCATACTATCAAGTTTATACTTAGTAATCTGTAATCCAATGATTGTACAATGAAATGACAAATAAACAAACTGAAGGCCTTGCATAAGATAAAACCAAATAGGCACATGACTGTGTCAAGGTTATAAAAACATGATCATTGCGAATACTAAGTCTTCTATCTGCATCTAGTTTTTTTTATCTCAATTCACTTGTTTCAATGTTTAAATAAACAACACAAAATGGCAGTAACTTATCATGACCAAGCTGACATCATTGCCTTGATTCTATATTTAGTAATGCATTCACATGACGTCCAATTTGAAAAGACCTCTTATGGTTGTAGTTAACATACCTATATACCGCAAGGCTGATTTGATAGGGTCCGAATTTTGAGAGGTTGGAATGATTTTATGCAACTTAGAATGCCAAACAAGATGACGGCCCACCTGATGGAAAGTGGTAACCGTGGTCTATAGACATGAACCATACCATGCACATAACAGAGTATGTTTCGCCATTGATACCCCCCATGCGTTGCCATTCTGAGGACTCAGGTGTTATTCCTCTGTACCCTGTAAATTCACTGCCATATCCCACCTTCAAACATAGCCATGCAAACACAACTGCTTCAAGGTAGAAACACGAATAGAATAGAGGTATCCAAATAAATGACTTTTTTATAGTTTCCCTCTGGTAAAAAATTTCACCTAGGTATCTGCTTTCTCAATAATTTGTGTATGTAAATCATCTTATGACGGACTAAAAGATATGTCTTAAGTATTAATTATGCAAAATTTGGAGTTTAACAAGTTGATATATAGGAAGTAAATATAATATGTTGGGGGGAAAGGGATTGTTAGTAATGGAGATTGAGAATCCCATTGCTAGCAGTATACCCAACCAGGTCGAACTCCTCGCGGTTCCCCCTGGAAACTATCATGGTTAATTCCTGATGACTTCGTCATGATGGGCTAACGGGCCTATTTTCATTCTCATCTAACACCCTTCACTGGTGCTCCGCCAGCGTATTCCGTTAGCGCAGGCGGGGTTACCATACCATTATCAACTATAAAAAAAATAATTAAATATGTTGCCATATATTTCTATAAACATTTTAGTATAAAAACTACTTTTCAAATTTCGTCCGTAATGGAGTTTTACGTCAGAAGTTTTAGATCTGGATGAATAGCGGTCTTCCACCGTGCGTATCTATAGACACATTCTTCCATGCATAACTCAATATACGAAACCATGTTCCAGCAGTAGTATTTCCAAACAGATACAACATTGAAACCTTCAAGAAAAGAGTATACTTCTTCCTAAAAGACCTGGAACACCAGTAATTCCTCCAGTGTTGCAGGTGGTTATTAAGGGGCGGTGAGGTGTGGCCAAAAAGGTGTTCTATAGATGGACCACAAAGCAATATAGTTAATTAATCATTCAAAAATATGTAAATTGATACATCTTAACAGACCTTAGATAAATCAGTATGCAAAATTTTTATTAAACATTATTCTATATCTAAATGCAGTTAGTAGATAAAGACGATGTCATATGAAGTGAACAGTCGACGAGAGACGTTTACAAACGAATTAAGAAGTGGGGAGGTCACCTTACGTTGGTTTCATGATAACAAAGTGATGTCATACTGGAATTTGTCACAAGCATGACTTATGTCATGTCGGTGCGAACATGCTGACAATATTTAGATCACCAGTTATTTACCTATTGAAAACGGTAAACAAGGACATCTGTATGGTTATAGTTTTAACAGACATTAGCAAGGACAAGAATCGCCATATTTTTTTTTGTGTCACGCGATTTAATCGTCAATTCTAAATTTAAATTTGATTTTTTTTTTATCGAAATGGTTCTCGGAATAGTTTGATTACTAATAGCACAGATAATATAATACTCTTAGATTAGAGGGAAAGGGATTGTTAGTAATGGAGACTGAGAATCCCATTGCTAGCAATATACCCAACCAGGTCGACCTCCTCGCGGTTCTCCCTGGAAACTATCATGGTTAATTCCTGATGAATTCATCATGATGGGCTAACTGGCCTGTTTTCATTCTCATCGATCACCCTTCACTGGTGCTTCGCCAGCGTATCCCGTTAGCGCAGGCGGCACTACCATACCATTTTCACCCATCGAAAAAAAACTCTTAGATTATATAGATAGAGTGTATCCATACATATGCTTCGAGATCGGTCAACCTTTTCATACAATTTTGCATGATAAATTGCATTGTAGATTGATACCTGTCACCTCTCTCCAGTACATCTAACTTTCGACTGATTACATAAGTATTCCAAAATAATATTATTACTTCGTATAAATCGAGAACATACTGTTACAACCCTTTTTTTCCGTGTGGAAAATCTTTTTTTTTTTATATTAAACAAGTGTCCCACGCTAATATTACGTTATTATAAAATACACGTGAATCAATCCTTACTACTTATTCATTACTGGCGATCCGCACGAATGGACAGAATTTTTGAAATTAATATAAGTATGGCCTGTTGCTAACTGACAATTCAAAACAGCTTTCTATTTAGTGAAGGAATTTTTAAAATCGGTCTAGTAGTTTTTGAGTTTACACATTACAAACAAACAGTCAAATCTTTCCTCTTTATAATACTAATAAAATTTTTATAATTGTCGTATATATAATGTAGATAGTATGCAAGCAGGTTGTATCTGAATTTGGTAGGGTTATACACTAGCCAGGCGACCGCGGAAGGCCCGTGCTCCGGCACGAGATAGCCGCGGGAGCGAAGAGACGACGGACACCTAGCGGCGCTTTCTAGCGCCGTTGGGTGTCCCTCGGCTCTGAAGTGGATCTCCGGACTGCGGATGGCGGGATACATCCAAAGCCCAAGAGACTGGAGATCCGGGAGGGGTGCGCTGCGTATTCCCGGCGCACCACTCGGAGTGGTCCCGTAGGGGAGCGGCGCTGCCGGTGACGCGGAAGACTGCAGCCGCGAGCCCTCGTCACCGGCACATGGCGTTGAGAGGAATACCGGGATGTTTTTAGTGGGTAAAAATCCCACAGTACCCATCCGTCGTCCCGCCGGCGGATGGGTCTCTTTCTGAAGATTTTCACCCTAGTTAAAAAAAAAGGGCTATACACTAGCCTGCTATGAATTTTTTATTTTATCATTCCTTCTATGTAATTCCTTGTTCTTAGTGGCATATGTCTACATATGTATGTAAAAAAGTATTGTTGGATAATTGGCAGGAATATTTATTAGTCCATAACTAATTTTTACCAGAGGGAGACTTTGTACAAAAGTCGATAGCTTTGTCCCATTCGTGTTTCAACCGTGAAGCAGCTGTGTTTGCATGGCTGTGTTTCGGTTTGAAGGGTGGGATATGGCGTGAATTTACTGGGTACAGAGGAATAACACCCGAGTCCTCAGGAATGGCAACGCGTGGAGGGTATCATGGGCGAAACAGTATACTGTGTTATGTCCATGGTACTGCTCATGTCTATAGACGACGGTTACCACTTTCCATCAGGTGGGCCGTCAGCTTGTTTGCCATTCTAAGGTAATATAAAAAAAAAAAAAAACTAAAAACTAATTCTATTTGAGTGGTATGTAGTTATTAAAAATGTAAATATTAATTCCCGTTGCGACAATGCGTCAGGCATTTTTTTTTATACCTAACCAGAGGTTTGTGATCACATTGCCTAGCATAATAAGCTTAACAATACTTTTTTTTTATTCCAATCACGTCTGCATTACATTCATGTGAAACCGACGTGACTTCTGGACAAGGAGTGCTAAAATTTAAATTCTGGTATTATGGTAACGTCTCCCACGCTACCGTTTTGGACCAAATGTTTTATTTTATAATCATATTGAATTAACCTTTTTTTTGTAATATTAAAGTGTAAATAAATATAAAGTGTAATATTAAATTTAGTCTTCTTATTTTATATCACTATATTTTTTGCTCTTAGTCCAAAAACGTAATTTTATAATTTTATTTTCTCTTGATTTTTAATGGTATGATAGTTTTACTAAAATACTGCTTTGTGAATTATCATAAACCAAATTTATAATAATTTTGACATAAATCAATAAAAAATGTAGTAAATAATAGGTCCCTAGAATAAAAATTTTACATCGAATTGAAATTTTAAAGATAGGTTTAAAGTAACTACGCCTCAGATTTGGCCCCAAGATCTACATAAAAAAAGTGTATTTCAAAAAGAGTTTTTAAATACAGGTGCATATATATAAATTATGTTACCCACTATACCATGCAAAGTTCTCAAATTTTCACGCCTCGCTGGCAGTGACTCACACTAGACGTTGATTCATGACGTTTTAACATTACGTTATCGCGATAATTTAAAAAAAAAAACAATTCTATAGAAATGACTGTATTATATGGTTGTACCTACATTTATAGATTCCGTACATTGAACTATTCCAATGAAAATATTAGGCAATAATAGGAAATGGGAAAGATTACGCTATTTTATTCCGATAGGAGCTTTTTTTTAGCCTCCCATAGGAGTGCAGCTTGTTCCCGGATATTAATATCCAGGTTTTTTAGCTAGTTTAATTTCCTTCTAAGTTTCCCTCACTCTTTACTACCATGTTCCCTTCATTCCTCATTTTTCATTCCA